GGGGGGGGCGGGGGGGAGGAATGGAGAGAGCCTTTTCCCATGGGAGGATAACCTGGGGTCCCTGGGGGGAGGGAGATTCCCGCCCCCCAGGGCCATCGCCCGGCTCAGGGGCACACCCAGGGCTGCCCTAATGGGGCAAAAGGGCTCCTCTGGAGCTGCCGCCCCACCGACCCCGCTCCACCTCCTCCTCAGACCCAGGAGCCTTCTGACCATCTCACTTTGGGATCTGCAGACTCCACGCAGTGTGGAAATTCCGGCTTCTTTTATTTCCAGGTCTTGTGGCCCTGCAGGTGCAGCTCACATCACCTCACCCCAGTTACAGGGCTGGCCCGTGCCAGCGCAGGACCTCGCTGGATGCATTCGGTCAAGGCTGGTGGCTGCCCCTTCAGCCTTCCTCCAGCTCCAGAAAGCGTGGCTCAGAGATGGCTTCATTTGCTGTATGCAGGTCCAGTGAAAAGCCCGCTCGCCTCTGAGCAGAACCAGGGCGCAGGGACAAGGGAGAGAGTGCTGGCCCTGCGGGCATTTTGGCACGCAGCAGAGGCAAGGTGAGCCTGACAGCACGATGCAAACAGCGTGAAACCTTGGCTGTGCTCTGCTTCCGCGGGCAGCGCTCCCTGCTCCCGGCCAGCCAGGACACGTCACTGCTGGGGAGGGCTCTCCCACGACTTTCCAGGCCTCGGATGCTGGAGAGGCATCTCAAGGCACCTGCAGCCTTGGCTAACCAGGCAGCAACTCCTCCAGGAAACCCCAGCTCAATCCTTCCCCCTTGGGACAAGACCTGGATCTCCATGCAGAAGGGCACCCCGAGGGCATTTCAGTCGGACCCAGCTCCGATGGCAGCATCCCAGAGCTGTGCCTGGACCCCATACCCAGCACCCACAAGTACCAACTCCTCACTCTTCTCCCCTGTCCCCCTGAAGAGTGGGCACCCAAACCCCCTCCCCTTTCCCCATCACATCTCATGCCGATAGCACTTCCCAACCTGAAATTTTCCTGTAACCTTTTGTACCTATGGGCTAGAGGCTGACACAGAGAATTTGGGGCTTTGATGACACACATTAAAAGTATTTTTCAGCATATTTCTTTGATTAGGATGTGGGAGAGTGCGCTTAGGCACACCTTTTGGAGTGGGGAAAAGCCTAAAGTGTTTTTTCAGCTGCCAGGTGCGAGGTTGTGCTCGGCTTTAATTTCATTTTTGAAAGAAAAAGGATGCAGAGATACCCATGGGTATGTTCTCCAAAGCATTTTGGAGGAGCACGTCCAGGTTCTGCTTGCTACAGTTTGGCCTTCCCAATGTGCCCCTCTTCCCCCAGTGTTGCAGGAAGGGCCTCGCCAGTCCCTTGCTGGAGCTCCTGCATGTCCAGAAAGCTCTGAAGACCCAAACCAGACTTAACCCACGGCGCACCAGGAGGCACCCAGTGTGCCAGTATTTGACTGCAGAGCCGACCAGCGCTGGCTTAGCCCAGGTGTTCCAGCGTCCCCGCTCCCAGCTCCGCAGGTCGCCTACCCCCAGAGCAGGTCAGAGCCCACCCGAGGAAGAGAAGACAACAGGTTTTGGAATGTAACAATTTATTGGGGTTAATTTTTTTCTTTTTTAATTTTTAAACTCCCCATTTCTGGCATTGATACAATATTCAAGAGCAGCAGAAAGAACAAAATGTACAAGAATACAAGAGTAATTAGCACAACCCCCACCCCCAAACCTGGAGCAAACCATTTTCTTGTGGGAAGCGCCAGGGGAAGGGGCGATTCCATCGCCCCTCCAGTGGCTACGCCTCCCACCCCTCCGCTCTAGACAGAGTTTAGGCAGCTGGGAACTGGATTAAAAAAAAAAACCAAAAAACGAAACAGAACAAAAACCTGAACAAACACTATATTTAAAATGAAAATTGCAAGACAAAAAAATATATAGATATACAATTCATCCGTGCACAATCCTTAAATGCATTTTTTTCAAAATAAAAAAAATTACAAGATACATATTTAGGTTTATTTTAAATTAAAAAAAAAAAATTACCACCTTCACTCTGTATACCAAGTGAGGGGAAATAAAGAGACAGATGGGTTGCACCAGAACCATCAGCACTCTAGGAGTTGGGTCTGACCTCTAAGAGAAAGGATAAGGCTCTGATGCTGCTGAAACTCAAGCACAGGCAGAATCTGAAGCACCCAAGTACCACGGAGCTCAGTGGGGTAACTCGCCTGCCCAAAGGTCAGTGTTTGCAGGAATCTGCAGGATTTGAGCCTCAGCTTGGCGCTGGGGAAGGTGAGAGGAAGGAACAGATGAGGCAGGCCCCTGTCCTCTGCCACCAGACAGCTTTCTATCCAAAAAGAAAACAAACCGGAAAAAAATATCCAAAAAAAAAAAAAAAAAAGTCTCCTCTATTCCTAACGAGCACACAAGGCTTAACAGCAGGGGAGAGAGGAAGAGGACAGCGTACCAAGCTGATTAGCTTGAGGGAGGCGCGGGGACAACAACTTTTTTCTAAAAAAAAGTCAGAGTGAATTTGTTGTTGTTCTATTTGAGAGCTTGACCTAAGACTCCGTCCCCCTCTGCAGCCGGGGGGCTGGAAGCAGCACGCTCCCTCCAGGACAGCGAAAGAGCAACCTACCTGCGAAAGAGCGCCTACCTGCTGCTCTGCCCAGAAGGAAACCCTCGGCACCCCCGGAGAGCAGGGTGCAGCGGGGAGCACGCGAGGGCCCTGCTAGTCCTATGAGGCCCCGAAGCCCCACGAAGCGCTCCGAGGCACCCAGCCGCGCCCCTGCAGCTTCGTGCAAGCTCTTAAGTGCTCGGCTGAACAAGGAACGAAGTCAAGAACCGGAGCCCTGCAACAGGAATGAACACTTCAGCTGCTCGTCCCGACCGTGCCCCTTCCCTCCCACCAGATCTATTTTCCGAGCCGCTGCTGAAGCTGGCGTCACCCTGCCTGCCCCTGGCTGCCCTTCCGTCGCCTCACTTCTTTGCAGCACCGTGCTTGCTGCCCGCTTCCCTGCTCCCCTCGGCCCGGGAGCACAGAGTGCATCCCCGCTCCTCCACCCCCAGCACCACCGTCTCTGCCGGCACTCTCGGGTGGGTGCCTGGAGGGAGAGGGCTCAAAGCACAGCCCTCGCCCGAGGGACTCACCCCAAGGACCATGCTTTTGGATAGTCCTGGAGACACCTCATTTCCCACCACAGAGAAGCTGGAAGGGACAGAAGAGCTGCCAGAGGCAGCCCACCACCGTGGGAAGGGCAAACCAACTACGCCTCCCTTCATTCCTGGAAGGAGAAATTCAAAGAAAGGGAGAAAGAAGAACTGGGGGCCCTGCAACATCCTGATAGGTGAGGCAGGTGGGACGCAGGGCACCTCGGATGGGCCGTGCAGAGCACACGTGGAGCTGCTGGTGCCGAGGCTGTTCACCCTGCACAGACGAGGGCACAAGCCCCACGTCAGTCTGACACAGGGCAACATCGGAAGGGGAGAGAAGTAGAGGACGGAAAGACAAAGGTGAGGACGGAGATAGACTCCATCATCTCCTCCCATCTACACCCCCAGAAAGAAACCATACACATTGTGCTCTGGGGAGGGACCTAAAAAACAGAATTAAAAAAAAAAAAAAAAATAAAGCCACTTATTTGCTCAACCCCAAAGCATCGATGAAGTGAAGATACTTGCTGGAGTTACCTCGGGAAGGAAGCACGGACAGGGAGAGGGGGATTTCCGAAGCAATACTCAGCACTCCTCCGGCTCTGTGCAAACGCCGTGGGAGTCGGGCTGCCAGCACCCTCAGCAGGATGGTCCCCTCCACCCACCACCCCCTTCGCACGAGGGGGACGGAGGCACAGGGCAGTGACACAGCTGGCAGAAAGGCCACGGCAAACCAAGAAGGAACAGAACCCAGGAGGCACCGAATCCCTGGCCCCAAATCAACCCTCTACAGCGCACCACCTTCAGAGCAGAGATGAGGAAGGCCGCGTGCGGGGTGGTGGGTGAGACGTCGGGGAACGAGGGGAGGGGAGAGGGTTTCTTTTATATTTATATATTTATATATAAAAAGTAAATAAGATCCCAGCTCTTGCACGATTATTGGGCGATTGAAAAATGCAGCAAAAGCAAGCGACATTGGAGTAAAAGGATGCGCCAGGCAAGGAGGAAAAAGTCTTGTCAGAAGGTGGGGAAGGAGGCGAGGGGAAAAATAAGCACTTAGCCAGACACGCACTCCAGGTTTGTTACACCTCCCTGGGGAGAAGGACCTGCTGCCGAGCAGCCCCACTGATGCCACGACCTGGGGTGGGCAGAAACATGGGGGACTCAGGACACCGTCCTTCAGTGCGGCAACCTCTTTCTGTCAGGAGGTCCCCAAGTAAGGTGATCATCTCCAAACGCTGGGAGCTGCCAAAACCTCCTCTACAAAGAGGGGCTGGGAAAGGGAGTGAAATCCCTAGGAAGACTCAGCTCAGAGACAGCTCCTACCTGGTAAAAAGCAGGACTGTGGTTGGGTTTTTTTGTTTTATTTCATAAAAATCTCCCTGGGAACTTCGGTAAGGGGAGACGCAGAGAAATGCTCCCTTTCTCTTTTGAAAACAGAAATTAAGCAGTGGCTCACCACAGCTGGGCCTGCTTGCCACGCTCTTATTCCTGTTTTCCATCCCAAAAGGAGCTTGCATCTCATTAGCTTCACGCCTCCCCAGTCCCGCTCTGCTCAGCAAGGAGAAAAAGAGCACACGAGACAGGAGGCTGCCGCTCCAAGCTGAAGGCTGCGGGAAGCACTGACAGAGCTCGATGGGCAGAGAGAGAAGTTCCCAAGAGCAGCCCAGGCTATGGGAGGCATAGAGACATCCGTCGCCTGCCACCACAAAGCCAAGGGCACCAGAGAAGTCCAGGCAAGAAAAGCTGTCCTAGCGTCCCCTGCCTGCCACCTTCTGTTCAGACACCAGCATCTGGTGGCTTCCCTCTTCCCTGCAGTCACTCCCACGCACCAGATGAACGCCCAGCAGAGACATCTTGAATGGGGAAGCCAGCATGCAAGAGCTGCCTCCTTGCTTGGAAGAAATGTTTGGGCAACTCTTCCCCACCACCCTGCAGGAGGCCAGAGCAGAAAGCAGCCATACTCAAGCACAGTCCTGTCGGGGTGCTCCCCCCTCCACCCCAAAACTTCCAGCATTTGCTGGCCTCAAGAAGAGGGTATGCCTCACTCAGCAACACCTTCAGAGGACACAAGGCAGCTCTCTCATCTGCCTCTGAAGATCCAGCTGCTGGCAGAGATGGGACGCTGGACTACATACAGTGTAGGGACTTGGTTCTCTGTCCTGATATGGTGAATCCTATACGGAAAAATGCCATTCCCCACCTGATGCTGGAAGAAGCTAAGAGACCCTACGGAGGGGAGGCGTATCTGCTTCCCGGGAGATAAGCCCACCGTATTTAATCCTGCTTGGATATGGGGGAGGGAAAAGAGAAGAAGTGACAGCGACTTGGCAGGAAAGGTACATGCCAACCCCAAATCTTAGCAGCTTGCTGTGCATGCAAAGTAAGTCAACTGTTTCCATGTTGGTGGCCCAATCCACGTTCTGTCAGAACGTGACCGGCCATTTCTGAGGGCCGCTCGGCCAGAAAACCACTTGGAGACTCCACCTTAGCTCACAGGAGAGGTATGGGAGGGAAGGGAACTCACTCCAACACTTGGGAGGCAAGGACGGGAAGGGTTTGTAGACAGGGTTCCTCCAACATGCAACTTGCCTTTTCAGCTCAGAGATCGCTGCTTAGTCCCAGAATGCCTTTCCCTCCAGTTCAAGCAAGTCAAACACCATCCCAGACACACATGCTTCGATACTACAAAATACTCTTTTCTCTAAGGACCATCTAATACCACTACAGTTTGTGCAATCACTGCATTTATTATTAATTTTTAAACTCTCTCTCTCTCGCTCTCTCCCTGTAGAAATTTTTTTTAAACTTTTCTTTTTTTATGCAAAACTAATCATTTCACTTTTTCCACTCCATCATAAAATCTCCTCTAAAAACACGACAACAAGAGAACAAACATGGCACAGACACAGAGAATATTTCCCTGTTTTTTGTTTTGTTTTTTTTTCCTAGGGATTACGGGGAAGGGAAGGGGATACTTTCAAATAAACTCCTCCCCCTCAGTCCCACACCCTTTTTAAAGAGCATGGATAGATCTTCCTTCCCATCTCCGTTAAGGAGTAAGGGCAAAAATTCAGAAGGAGGAGCGTAACCCACGTGAATACGAAGGTAGGTTAGTCAGCCTCAAGCGGCTTGTCCACCTGAAGGAACTTGAGGCTGCTGCTACATTCAAGTTAGCAGACCTCTAACTCAAAACAACATGGGATCCTCATTCGGATCCAGAGGTTCAGGGTTTGATTCCCACCTGGTGACGCACCCAGGGAGAGATTTGTCACACAAGCAGTTGAGCTGTGTCTGCAAGCCGGATCATACTCCTTTCCTCCTCCACAAAGAGGATCTACTGCACGAGTTCCTCTGCCACAACAAGTCCCCTCATCTCCTCACCACAGGAAGAAGGTCCTCACGGAGTACCCCTACAACGACCCACTGTTTTGCTCTTCACAGACAGTCCCCTTGCTTGTCACTCTGGAGAAAGGCAAAAACCCTTCAATTAAACAATTCCTGTCCCCTGCCCCCAAAGAACACCATACAAGAGACACTGGGGAAAAGAATCCTGCCAAGTGAACACATCTTGGCCAAAACACATCAAGAGTTTCCTATTAAAGTTCCCTTTTATCTCCCACTTAAACGCTTCAATTTATTTTTTCAGAACCTCAATACCACGAAACAAAACACATCACCACATACACACCAAACAGTAACTTAACAACCTAAAGTGACTGGCCAGTTTGCATCCACCCCACAAATAAGCTCCTCTTATCTCGCAGCCACAGAATAGTTCTTGTTGAGAATGAGGGGAGGAAAGAGAAGAATCTCCTTGCTATTTCCCTAAGAGCGAGCTTTTCCCTATGCCTACAAACTGCTCATCTTTGAAGCTGCAGTCAAATGGATAGGCTATGCTAAAATAAGGGATCTCCGGGTGTGCCAGGCACAGGGAAGATGCAAAAAAAAAAAAAAAAAAAGACAAAAAATACAGGCAGGTATTAATATAGACACGCACACAAGTCCAACAAGTTATAGGAAGCCTTAGCTCAGTGAATGGATCGGGGAAGTCTCTTTCTCCCTGCCCCTAGCTTCAGCTGTGAATGCAACCACATCCCCAAAGAGTCCACTAAGCTTTTTAACCCAGGAAAGAAAAAGAAAGAGGTGTGCAAAGGGTGGTGCTAACAGCACCTGGAATCCCCCTCAGACTTTCTGCGCAGACACCGACCCGCAGCTGGTGTGAATTCACTGTGCCCCACAGCTTTGAATTCCACCCACTGTGAGGCAAGGCTTCTGGGGAGGGCAGCAAAGATTTAATTACACCAACCCAGGTGCTGGAGGCAGGGAAGAGACAAGCTCTGGGCACAGAAGCCCTAGTTAAGGTCAGAAGCTGGTCTGTCCCTCTACCGCCCCAACGATGCCCCTTGGGCAGAGAAATACTGCCTCTCTCCCAGAAACTGCCTCCTGTCTGCCCTCAGACCACTGCAACCACAAAATCACTACTCCACACAAGAGCACTCCTCAGAGCCAGTGGCTCCAGAGCACCCTCGTGTGGAAGCACCAGAGGGGACAATTCCACTTGTGTTCACCCACCCAGGGCAGGTTCGTAAGTAGGTGAGCCCTGGCACGGGAAATTTTTTTTCCACCCTTTTCACCTCTGCAGCATGTTATGTAGAAGTGCCGCCCCTCTGCCCCATCCCAAATATGGGGGACAGGGCTGAGAGGGTGAGGCTCTCCCACTGATTGATCAGCACCTCTTCTCCTTGCCTCTACAGGCTGAGCCCTATGCGAGTAGGGGGAGAGCAAAAGAACGGCACCTCACCACGAAGCTTAGGACCCACACAGAAATGGAGCAAGCCAGAAATGGCAGGTGAAAGAGAGAGCTTATTCTGGATGTGAACAAGGGTGGTCAGGGGGAAAGAGGGAGCTGTGGGTAAAGAACGGCAAGCTGTGGTCCTGCTCGCTCCTACTTGCAAGGGGCAAAGAGAAGGAATTTCTAGATCAGCACACAGGAGCTCTTGGGGAAGAGATCCGGCACACACGCGTACGATGCGGGAGAAACAGTTACTTCTTATTAGCACCTTTGGTTGACAGTTGTAAGGGCCATTTCAGATGCTGAAAGGACAGAGGGGAACCCTCTTCTGGGCCATTCACCATAGGGAAGGGAGAGCAAGAGAGATGAAAGGAAGCAGGAAGAGCAAATGACCCGCCTTATTGTCCATCCATCCATCCCTCCCTCCTTCTGAGGGAGCAGGGGAAGCAAAAAGGGTTGAGGGAAGCCTACGCACAAGGCAGGAGACCAGCCTCGCCCAGCTTGGGCAGCGTGTCTTCCCCCAAACTGAAGGATGGATGCACGGCCCACTCCCACTCCACCACAGAAAGGCTGGGGAAGGGCATTTCATGCCCTCTCCCCCAGGCAAGTGCAAGTGATGAACACCAGGAGGAAGATCCAGGCCAGAAACAGACTCCTCTTTTCTTCCCTTCCCCCTGCAAAGCTAAGCAAGTTGGAAGATGCAGGAGAAGAGGGACCAGGCCACCTGAAAGTGCCCACACAACTGCCAAGGTAGCACCAATAGTCAAAGGAAACGGGAAGCCAATATGGGGTGTATGCTGCATGGGGCACCCCCAACACCCCAGCTTTGTCTCAAGCACCTTCCAGGCATGATGCCTCACCTGCCCCTCTCCCCCTGGCTCTGGGGGCACCTGGATCAGCAACTGCCATGAGGACAGCAGAGGAGAGGGCAGATCCAGGCTGCAGGCCAAGAAGGGGAAAGATGGCAGGATCAGAGTCATGGCAAGGGGAAAACATAGGAATGGAAGAGACTGCATGCACATTGTGGGAGAAGGCTCGGGGGGAGTGGATGAGGGCTCCAACCCTCTTACATTCTCCCCTCAAGAGTCTGGAGCTCCTTTTCAGTTTTTGTCGAAGATGGAAGGGGAAGGAAGAGGAAGAGCACCTTCCCCACCACCCCCACAGGCACACAGACACACGCTCACCCATCCCTCATCCCCAAAGGCTCCGCTGCCCGTTGGACACCACCACATTCAAGGACAAACAACCACTCCCCAGCCCCACCATGACCCTCCCTGCCTCCTCCCAGCAGCAGCGACACCCAGGAATGGTGGGTGCCCCCGCTCCGCCCCACTGACACGCTCCAGCCTCCAGGCAAGAGGGAGTGGGCAGGGGGAAAGGAGGAGGAAGGGTGGCAGTGAGGGCAGAGGGACAGCCAAGGGGAGAAGGAGAGAACTAAGGACAGCCATTCGCACCACGACTTCTCGCAGGTAGAGCTCCCCCCACACCCCTGGAGTGGGGGGACCTGGCTTCTCACTTGCTGCCTCCTCCGCCACCGCCACCCGCTGCCACCTTCTCAAAATCCTCTGCGTTGCAGAACTCCTTGATGGTGACGGTGAGGAGATTGCTGGTGACATCCGTGACCACCACGTTAGAGCAAGGGGACATCTCAGGACGCCAGTCGCCCGCCTCCTGCTCCGGGTCAGAAGAGGAAAGCGACAAGGAGGGTGTTTGCCCCCCGCTGCACCCTCCTGTGGGAGAACGCTTGCTGGTGGCGGCCGACTCGGGTGGGATTGAGAGGTCAAGGACCTCTGACTCGCGCCAGTCGGGGATGGCTGGGCTGAGGGTCTCGGGAAGCAGCTTCGGAGGAGAATCATCTGGGTCAGAGGAGGAGTGGGGGGCAGGCGACGGGCAGCCGGAGGAGCTGGAGCTGGGGGCATCATAGGGGGTAGAGCCCATAATGAGCCCACAGGAGGCTGCCTGGGAGCCTTCGGCCTCTCCTTTGCCCTCCAGAGAGGGGGCAGGTGCAGTGGACGGCTTATTGTAGAGCGAAAAGGCGCCGAACTTCATGTGACGGATCTGGGTGCGGAGAACGCTCTCACTGAACTTTTTGCTCTTGCCGATGACACGGTTTCGGGACGGGATCTTGGGCCGAGCCAGGGCCCCGGCCCCATTGGCTGGCTTCCCACCTTTGTCAATGACTTTGAGGTTGAGGATGATGCGGCTGCGCTTGGGCTCGCGGGGTTTCACCTTACGGTTGATGATGCGGACGGTCTCCGAGAATGGCGAGACAGGAGGACGGATGCCAGCCCCGCCACCCACGCTCCCGCCATTCTGGGGGTCTGGACGGGGCAGGGGACGCCGGGACATGCGGTGGCATCGCCGGATGTCTTTCTTGAGCCGGTGCACTGCGGCACTGGAGTGGAGCTTGGGAGAGGAGGTGCTGGAACCAGGCTTGACAGAAAAGTGTACATCCCCAAGGTGGAGGGCCTCCGCTTGGGCCCGAGCCTGCGGTGGTGGGGAGAGAGAAACAAAAACAGGGTCAGAGAGGCAGCCAAATCTCAAATTACACATTGCTCCCCTCAGGACAAGAATGTCATGTCACATCTATACCCACACTAACGACAAGCATGCATACACACCTATGGACTATTAAGAGCCACAGCACAGCCCCCATATAAGCATGGGGCACTTCTACGTCCTTTTTAGGCAGCTAATTACTCCCTAGGCAGTGCCCCTGTTGACACGTGCTTCCCCCAGGAGGAAACTGCCACCCTCCAGCCATGTTTCAGGGTTACAGTTAATGGTTTCCAAGGCCACTCTCAGTCATCATCAGCCAACGTGCAAAACCCTCCACCGTCAGCCAACCAACCAAACATCCTCCTAGGCACTGGGGCTGTTAGTGTTGAGTTAGCATCCAAAATTACGTACTAGTCCCAAGACAGCGGACTGTCTCAGGTCCTCTACAAAATGAGCACGAGACAAGGGGGAGAGAAAGAGTAATGCATCCAGTTGGTCTTCCCCTCCCACAACCAGACTCATCTGCTCTGGAAAGCATGGAAGAAAGGGGTCTTGAACACAGATGGAAGCTGGTGAGGGTGGTCTGACAGAGCTGTCTTTAGGCTAAATGCAAGAAATGCGGAGATCTGAAGCTTAACTTTAACTAGAGACCAGAAGCAAGTTGGATATCCTTACTCTGCTGTGGGAGCAAGGTCCAGTGTTTAAAGCCAGAGACCAGGCCAGCTGGAATGCAAGTTTAACTTCATCTCCAAAGAAGAGATTGACTTGTCCTTTTGAACACCACGCTTGTTTGAAACCTACTAATGAAACAGAGGAGGAACAGCACTGGTTCCACCGCTCGTGCCAGAGCAGGGGAACAAGACTTCTAAGCTCTTCTGGTGCTTGGAGACAGTGCCAAAACCTGCCCTGGTTCACACACCAGAGACAGGAACATTTTCTGGCAGCAGGAACAACAGTTTTGTTGGTAAGCTGAGGCAGTATGACCCGAAGACCCTGTGGGCATGGAAACCCAGAGTGTACTCTTACATCACCCCTTGCCAGAGCACAGTTGCTTGTAGAGCTCAGCCTCCCACCTGCACCCTGCTCCTTGTCCAAACAAACCCCCCTTCCTTACCCCCTCTCTCAGCAGTGGTCACAGGCAGAAGTCACCCACGCCTGGAGGGGACAGGCAAGCCCCCCTCTGACTGCCCATCTAGTGAGGGGCTTCCCCCATCTCGTGGGCACAACGAGAACTGCAGTGCTAGAAGACAGCTGCTTTCCCTCCCCAACTTTTCCGTCCCATTGCCCCCTAGCACACGCCAAGATCGGGATGGCTTCTTGCCAGCTAAGAGCTTAAGCACTCCCAACACCATCTCCTTTGTCACCCTGCAGGCTGTGCCTCCTAACCAGAGAAACGCCTGGGGAAAAAAATGTGCGTGTAAAGGCAGGGATCGAACAGATCTATGCGAGGGGCCCAGGCCAGCTCTCGCACAATAAGCTCAAAGCCCTGGCCCTACATCCCCAGAGCTTTGCTGTCACCCAGTGTGCCTCTTCTCCCACCGAGATCCCCATGGGAACTGCAGAAGATCCTGAACAAGCAGAGAACAGACACGTGAAGACATTTTGTTCCTTCCTGGCTAATGCTGGATCGTGCCCTGCAGTACTACTTGTATCCTGGCTTTAAAAGGACTGGCAAAGACGAGGCCTCCTTCCCCAGCTATATGTGAAAATGCAGACTGAAGGCTCATCTACACCAGGGACAAAGAAACAGGGATGAGTACACAACTGCCAAGGTGGGCACAGACACTCTCCACGTTAACCCTGGGCTGTACAGGGCTGTTTCACCTGGACAGAGGGAAGCATCCCCAGTCCAGACAAACCCCAACACATCCTGCTGTAGCAGGAAGCATCCCAGTGTCCAGCTAAGTCCTCTCTGCTCAGCCCCACACGTTACTCCGTGCCCCAAACTGTTCAGAAAATGAATAGACAGACACCGTTCCTGTCCCAGGCATCCTACAGGCTGGAACACAGCAGCAGCACCAGGCGAACTCCCTGTACCATGCATCAACTCTCCCCCTCCCATCCCAATGATCCACAACTTCAAGACACCACAGATCCCGTCAGGAGGTCACAGGGGCAGACAGATGCACATCTAGGTCTGTTGCTTGCTCCCTGTCTTCACAGGTCCCTCTGAAGCAGATGGCAGACACCGGGATAAGCTACAGTTTGTTTTCTGACATTACATACCAGCACAGCCTGGATTAGCAATTTTGTTCTTCCTTTTCGCTCCCCTTCCCCATTACAGCCAGCCCTTCCAGCACTGCTGCTCTCATGCTTTGGGCTTCTCGCCAATTTATCACTGCTCAGCAGAGAGCAAAGTGCAACACAATGTCCCATTCCAAAATGCAGGACAGGGAAGCCAGGCAGAGGGTACAGACAGATGCACGGGTAAAAATCCTTGATTGACAGCTTCAGCAGATAGACACAGGCATCCTTCAGGGCCTCTCCTGCTGCCAACACCACACGTCTTCTAGACTAATTCCCTACCCTGTAATTACACCTTGGAGTGAGGATTTCTGCCCCCTCTGCGCCCCTCTGCTTGGAGCAGAGTCTAATTGCCGCCTGCCTACAGCGCTGCCTTCCATCACCCACGTGAGAAAGAAGCAGACCTCCCCACACATCTCCCCCGAGCCACAGTTGCCTTATACGTGCCAAAATTCCTCAGCAAAGCTTCCCATCAACCATGTTAAATGAAAAGCAACAATGCTGGGATGGCCACTGCCCAGCCATCCATAGTCCTGCCGATTTTACTTTCTCAGCCTGTGCACCTTAATCAGCTCCAGTCCTGTTTTGACAGACACCCATCTTGGTTTTGTGCTTATGCAGCGGCTAGCACAGAGCCCTGGCCCGCGGCTCGGACTTCTCCAGAATCATTGGGTCTCCTTTACTTGCTATGCATCTGTGCTTCCAGTTACTTCTGGGGCACTCCCCCAAGGCTGAAGCTGTTTCTAACTCATGTTTCAGCTCTCTGCATTTATTAAATACCAGTTCAGTACGGGCCAGAATATTGAGAGGGTAAGCTGGGACCCAGCAGTCCCCCCCAGGTGCTACACTGCTGTCCCCAGTGACCAGCTTCAACAAGAGTTCTAAAGAGCAATATGCAAATATTCATCTTATCTTCAGCTTGCTTTTCCAGGTAAGGTTTCAAGAAAAATAGTATCAGATGCTTTATCTAAAACCAGCCCCCAGAGCCCTCTCACTTGCAAAGCTCAGTGTTCCTACCACAGGATCGGGTTTATTCAGGCATCAACTATATGAACTCAAGTCTCTTCCCTGCAAAGGACAGCACATTTTCTGGGCTCTCCATCTCCTGCTTCCAACTTTACATTAAGTAACTTGCTGCCTCAGGTTTGGAGAAGACTCAGCATTCAGTTTTATCTGCTGGAGATGCACTTCTCCCTGCTACAGATCCATTAGTCAATCACACTCACGAGCTGTATAAGCACGAGGCCTTTGAAAAACAAACCCGTTTAATCCTTTCAGCTGGGTCACCACAGTTTGCTACTTAACTCAGAAGTTTTCCAAATGGAAACTACCTCCCTGGGTTTTGCTGTTTTCACCTGCAGGATTTGCTCACTGCTGAAGAGGTACTCAGCATGTATATGAAGTAATTCACTCTGCTTACAGCTCAGCCTACATCAGGATGCAGCTTCTGGAGGCTTGCTGCAGTGCTCTGTCACAAGAGCAAGGCAATCGCTAGGATTGCTTCCCTTCCCCCCCCCCTTCCCTTTTGGGATACGTATCACCTTTATTTAGCTTGTACAGCTTTCCCTCACTGCCCCTGGGAACTAGCATATCTCCCCTGTTCCCTACTATTTCTGAATAAATGTCCCTTGAGGCCCAGCAAGCGTATTTGTTAATTCATTCCCTTAACGCACTGAGGCGCACAGGCATGTACACGGACACGTGCATAGAAAAGCCTCTCTTACCTGATTTGTATCAAACTCTCTGCAATTTGGGAGAAAAAAAGACCCTCAAAAAAAAAAAGACCTTGTAAGGCAATGGATTTCTAGTTAATTATTTCAAAATCAAGTCATTTCCAGTAGCGCTGCTGCACCATAGTAGCGCTACTCTCTCATAAATTACTGGTTCTGCTTTGTCTTTTATTCTCCACCTGCATTCCCACAGTCTTTGCTCCAAACAGCCTTCGCAAGAGCTCTTCTTTCCCCTTTTTGGCTGCCATTCTGCCTTTTTATCGCCCTCTTTCTTCTGCAGTCTTCCAAGTGACAAGGCAACAGCAAGCCAGTTCATAGCACAGCTCTCCCAAGCAACACTGCCATAAACTAAAGTTTCCCTACTGGATGGGGAACAAAATGCTACAAAGGGGAATGGTCTGTTTTCAAACCGCTCAGGGATAATTTACGAACAGGGAGGAGATCAAAAGAAACCCAACTCCGACTTTAGAGTTCAAGGAAGGGCGAAGCGACAGAACACCACACTGCTTGTCCCTTTCCCCCCCCCCCCTTTCCCACTAAGACTCTCCCTTACTTCTTCCTCCCCATTAACCTTCTCCAGTCTTTTTACCTTAGTATTTACAGCCACCCCGACCAGGGGTCTTTGCTAGCCACCCACTGAGCTTGCAGATCTGGCTCTGCCTCTTAATAGCACTTGCTAGACTTTATTAGATTAGTTGGCGAGTTTTGCATTCCTCTCAGCAGAGTGCCGAGGGGAAAAAAGCAAAATAAAAAGAGCAAACCGAGCGGGGGGAAAGAGGAAGATCACTACAGCGTGCGCCATGTCTCTTTCTAACCTCGCGCCAGCTTGCATTCGAATCTGCTGCTGAAGGGCCTGCCCTCAAGGACAACTTCTGCCAGACACCTAAGTACTAAGGTAAGAGCCCTACTTACAGCACTGCCCATTTCAGACCAAGGACTCTGCTTCCCATACGCTCAGCACAATGCCTGCAGCATACCAGCAGCCTCCCAAGAGTTACAACCTCCCACCAAGCTTGAGCTCAGCTGTGGGAAAGCTTGCCCCTAGCATGCAGAGGATAAAGACCCATTTCCTGCCCAAAACTTTGCAGTTGAAGTTTGCAGGGGTCCCTTTCAACACCGGCCATCTTGATAGCGGTATTACAAAGCTTGGACTGTAATTTCCCTTTGCAGTCTGATCGAAAGGGCAAGTGTTAGACAGCTCTCAGCAACAGGAGCCTGGCTTACAAAGGCAGCAGGTGGCCGAAGATGCAGCTTTTCAAAGCTTTTCCAAAGGCGTGGGCCACTAACCTGCTGGAATGCTTTCTGCAAATCCCCCTGGGTGCCTATCTGCAGTTTTTGAGAACTAATCCCAGGATAAACCTAGCCCCAACTGCAAACTAAAACACCCACACAAGCCAGGGGACTGAGCAGCGTATCGGGCACTTATTTCTCCTTACTGGAGACTCGGATGCCCAAGTTTGAGCACCGATACACGTGAAAAGCCACCAAATCAAGGGCAGACTAGTCTAGCAAAGCAGTCCTAGGCCAGACTCCTGCTTAAACATCATTGCATCCAGGCCTAATCTGTTCAGTTAACAGATCAGAAAGAATATTGTTCTAACTGCCAACTCCAAAGACTCCCTCTGGGACGCAAGAATCAAATTTCTTCCCCTGCTTCCGAAATTCTCACTGGCAAAAGATTCTGCAGCTGAAAGAACTGAAAACATCGTTAGCGATGCACAAGGCAGAACAGAATCCCACTCCTCCCGCAGCAGCGCCAGTTAGCAGAGGTCAAACCTGCACCTTCGGCAGGTCAGAAGAATTGACCGAGAGATACACAGGACACAAACCATCGTGCTGGTCTCAGTCGTGTTTCTAGCAGGAGTTGCATTGCTAGTGGTTTGCCTGAATAGAGCTCAAATTCAGCTAGGGCTGAGATAGGGTTACTTCTCGCTGCCTGGCCTGGGGCGTTATTTTTAGGGTAGGATCCGAAGTCACAGAAAAATGGCAAGTCAGAGCACTAACAGTCTCAACCAGCTCAGTTTCCCAGAGCTGCAAACCAAGCAGCGGTGGCAGCGCTCTGCCCTGCCAGCCTCTCCCACAACGTGGCACCAGCCTTCAGGAGAGCTCATCTCGCTCCCTATCGCAATCCACCTTCTAACAAAGTACCACACCAGCTCTGCAAACCTACGGGTTTTCAGTAGCGTTTGAGAAGCTGGCAGAAGGAAGATGTGCCACAGAAACGTGTCAGGGACGTGATTCAAAGGATGCTGTTGAATAATTCAGGTTCCACGTTTGGTGGGGAAGGGGGGGTTTAAAGGGCAAGGGGAGAAGAGGAGGAATGAGTGGGTTTTATTTTTGAGTTTGGGGGTTGGTTTTGTTTTTTTAAATGAGTGAAAAATTGGCAGTGGATTTTGCTGTAACACATTCAGAATCACAAAGTAAAAGAAACTGATTGCACGCAGAAATGTTAAAAGCACAGCATAAACACTTCTCTACCACTCTGAACAGTGTCAGGTGTTACAAATACCAGTATTTTTTAATTCAAGCAGAGAACTATTTTAAGCTGGTGGTTTCCCTTTAAGTGTTCCCCTGCATTGTTGGAAACCTAAACACAAGGGTTTCATTTAATGCATGACTGCCAGAAAGAGAAAAACCAACTAGTCTAGTTTCCTTGAATAAAGAGTAAGAGGTGGTACATATCAGTTATGTTTGTAGTTCTCAGTCTGCAGATACAAAAAACTGTTAGCAGAGAGACAGGCAACGAGGGGGGAGGAGGAGGAGGACAGTTCTATCAGCAGGACTTTCCGAGGATTACCACAGTCTCTTGGGTTTTACTCAGAGCATCAGAACATGCCTGTTCCCGCATTTCTTCGGTGTGCTTCGTAATGTCTTCTTAAAGCAGAGGAGAGGCAATACCCTACCCCCTCACTGCTCTTTCCGGTGCTCATACAGTTAAAGTGCTGTGCTGACTTGAGTAAAGCTCCTACTGCTCTCAGGCAAAGGGAAGTATTAACCTGTTTCACAGATGGGGAAACATGTACAAAGGCTAAATGACTTGCCCAAAGCCATAGGATGACTTAGTGATAGTGATGCCTCACCAGAGGGTCCACCCTGGCTGTTCCAGGACTTTATATCAGATCAAAACCAGGGAAGCTGTGAACTGGCTCATCTGTCTTAATCTTACAAAGGTGTGTTGTGTTTCCACATTAATTTAAAGTCTGAGATTGAGATAGTTGTAGAGGAAGGGGGGGTAGGAGGGGAGCAAAGCAAAGAGTTTTGTCTGTAGGCTAATAAATCCATAGAACTCATATAGTCACACAGTTACCAGATTTCTTAATTAAAAAAAAAAGTAAAAAAAGGGGGGGGCTGTACTAGGGACTACCTTCCTCATTCATCACTGCAAGTAAGCAGAGATGCTGTGTCTATCAAGAGGGGAACTGGAAATTTCAGCTGCTATTCTAAACAGAGGTGAAACACTCCTTCCCCACCCCCCCAAAAAAAAAAAGGCAAAACAAGCCTGCCATTTACAGGTTCAAAACATGAACCCTTCATGAAATGAACCCTTCATGAAACTCTTATGGAGCACCCTCATCCCGAAACACAATTGGAGGAGCACAAGTGTCAGCGGGACTCCCGCCACAGCTGCCCGATTGCTCAGCATGCTGCTAAGTTGCAGGGCACAGGCTGGATGGAATAGGCTGCTGAAGGAAGAGGGAGCGGGGCAGGCTAGCTCTCCACTGCGGCAGCAGACAGCCGTAAAGACGGAGAGGATATTGGAAAAGAGATTGCAGCCTCACCGTGCACATCCGCGCGTACCGACCGTCCTGCTGGGGCACCCGTCGCACGCACACACGCTCTCTCCTCACACGCTTCTGCATCCCTGCCCCCCACCCGCTTTCCCGGCGGGCCGTCCCTGCGTTCCCAGAGCCAGGCGGCAGGCACAAGTCACTTGAAAGTCCAGTCCTTCCAAGGGCACGAACTGGCGAGGTTTAAGAGACATTTGGCTAGGCCTAAGTTATTTAAGTAAGAGTTACCTTCAGGAGAAAAGTTTTGGGCTTAGGTCCTCTCTTCTTCGGCCCATACAGCTCACGCTCTCGTTCCCTTTAGGGAGTTAAATTTGGCAAGAAGTTAAAACTTTTCCCAAAGGGAAACACAGAAGCATACGAGGTTTTTCTTTTTTTTTTAAAAAAAAAAAAAAAAAAGAAAAAAAATGAAGGGAGCCTAGACGCCTTTCCCCGGTCGCCCACCCAAAGCCAAACCTGCCGCAGCCCCCCCAGCCCGGGGCGGGGGATGAGCACTCACTTCTGCTCGAAGGCGGCGATGAGGCGGGAGTCCAGGATGTTCTCCTCGGGTTCCCAGGTGCTGTATCTGCCGGGGCGCGGGCAGCCGGG